AAGAGGGCAGCAGGCAGTTAGTCACAAGGGCAATGGTATTCTAGGCCACCTAGCCCTTCACCTGGGTGCTAAGCTGCCAGTCAGACACTCTGGGTGCCCTCCCCTCAGACCTTAGCTGGAGTTTCCCCACAGTGCAGACGTGGCAGTGGCCAGGACAGGGCCACCTAAGAGGGAAGGCAGGGGCACCGTTTATCCTTAAGGCAGCCATTCTTATCTAAAGAGAGAGCCACAGAGCCACAAGATAGGGCCTGGCTTAGCCCCTACCTACCAGGTGACCCTGTAAAAGACCCTGGGCCTCAGTTTCCCCATCTTTCAATTCTGGATAGACTTAACAGGACAGACCAAAAGAAAAGGCCAATAGGAGAGTGAGCTCCAGCCTGGCGCCCCCTCCTCCTGCACCCAGCTCAGCTGCTCCAGGGAAGCCCCCAAGTCCCTCTCGGCTTGTGTTCCCAGCTGGGTCCCTATGCTCATCGCTCCTTCTGGGTTTGTGTTAAGTGAGCAGTTGCCATGGATACCAGTCTCAGCTTCTTTGGCAGAAAAGGACTCCCCCAGGGCAAGGCTCTGCCTTTCCTCAACAGCCCCCACTCCACCCAACTCCAGGTGCCCAGGCTGCCCTCGGCTGGATCAAAGGGAAAGAAAATAGGTCTTGAGAAGAGAACAGGTACCCCACAGAAGTTGGGGAAGGATCTGAGTTCCCAAATAGTCACTCACCAACCGTAAACAAGGCCGGGGCCAGCTCCCTCTTTCGGGGCCTGGTTCCAGGAACAAAATGCTGCCACCTACACCCTCAGCTCTGCTTCCATTGCACAGAGGAAAGAACGGCAGCCTGGGGGGCAGAGGTGGCTCTGGCACCAGGAAGCAGAGCTGGTTAGAGGGGGCGTGAGACCCCCGTCTGAGGGACTACCTCCTTCTCCTGACCTGGCAGTAAGGAGTGGGCTGAGAATGCAGAGTGGGTGGCTGCTAGGCTGGTAGGGACCATGGGAGCAGCAGCCAGGTGCCCTAGAGGAGCTCAAACTTCCTTGGCTCAATTAAACTGAAATTCATCTACCCAAAGGGCTCTTGCCTGAGCCAGCAGAGCCTCTGCGTTCCGGGCCACAAGCAAGGGTCACACCCCTACCTCCACCCGGGGCTCCTGGGGCTGCAGAGGATGCTGCACTGGCTGGTATGGCCCTGCTCCGCCCCGCGTGTGACCTTGGGTAAGTGTCTTTGTTCTCTGGACGGCTGTGTTCCCATCTGCACAAGGAGGTGCAAGGAAGGAATTAGAAGAGGTTTCTGGGCTACCTCAATTTCATCCAATTGAAGCAACGCTCAGTAAGCAGAGCAAGCACAGGAGCCTGGCCCTCCTCACCCGCTCTGAGGCCTGCTGCCCTCAGGGAGTTCTCATGGGGCAGAGGAGAGGCCGTAATTAGCAGGTTCACCGGGTGGCGCTGGGAATGCTTGTGCAGAGGCAGAAGCTACTAGAGTTCCCAGGATGGAGACCAGCCCTGTGGAGAAGGGAGGGGTTCGCAAAGGTGTCCTGAAAAGGACTGTCATAAACAGAACCAAAAAACAGAACAACGACAAAAAAAATAAATAAATAAAACAGGAACGGCACCGTGGCCAGGGGCCCAGCGTGAGCAGAGGCACGAAGGAGAAGGCAGCTGGCACTCATGAAGCCCTCCGAGGAATCTGGCCCCGTCCCAGGTGCTCGAGATACAGTCTCATTTATCCCACGCAACCCGGGAGGCGGGCGGGAGGGGAATGATCACACAGAAGGCTCAGGGGATGTCTTCAAGGTCACACGGCTGGGAAGCGGAAGAGCTTTGCCTCGAACTCGGTCAGGAAAGACTCTAGACCTACACTGTCCACTCTAGTGGCCCCTGGCCACCGTAGTATTGACATGTGCTGTGAATGGAAAATACACATACTGGGTTTCAAAGACTTAGTATGAAAAAGGAGGCAAAATATCCCATTAACAACACACACATATATATATGTGTGTGTGTGTGTGTGTGTGTGTGTGTGTATATGTGTATATATATATATATTTTTTTTTTTGAGACAGAGTCTCACTCTGTTGCCCAGGCTGGAGTGCAGTGGCGCGATCTGGGCTCACTGCAATCTCTACCTCCTGGGTTCAAGCGATTCTCCTGCCTCAGCCTCCCGAGTAGCTGAGACTACAGGTGTGCACCACCATGCCAGCTAATTTTTGTATTTAGTAGAGACGGGGGTTCACCATGTTGACTAGGCTGGTCTCGAACTTCTGACTTCAGGTGATCCACCAGCCTCGGCCTCCCAAAGTGCTGGGTTTACAGGCATGAGCCACTGCACCCGGCCCTAACAACTTTTATATTGATTACATGTTGAAATATGTTGGATATATTGAGTTAAATAAAATATATTATGAATTAATCACACCTATTTCCTGTACTATTTTCCTTCAGCCACCAGAAAATCTGACATGAATATGTGGCTTACATTATATTCCTTTTGGACAAAGCTGGTCTATACTATGAAAAAACAGATTTTAAGGACAGATTTAAAGAAGGAAAGTGGGACCTCCCTTCATTCTCTGGTGGGGAGCTGACGCCAGGTAGGTGCAAACATTGAAGACTGAGCAACGGAGTGTCTACATCGCCGCCTCTGTCCCAGCCGGGCCAGCCAGCAACAGGTGCACTCAGGCCTGGGATGAGCACTCCCCTGACCCTAGCACATCAAGCCATAGTAGTTACCATAGAGATGATAAATATTCCTAAAAACTGAACTTGGGGAAGTGGAGATGGGGAAATCTACCAGAGAGAGAGGGGCAACCAGGCTTATCCGGAGAGGAAACCTGTGTCTGTTGTGTGCTGGGGGTGGGGTGGTGCGTGAGCTCCCATCCCAGGCCAGGAGAGGGAGGGAGGCGCAGCCCAGGCGGGTGTTTGCACAGGGCTTTCCGGGCCTTCCTCCCTAACTGCCCCCCACGCCCCTCTTAGCCACCACTCCCCACCTTCCTTTACCAATTCACCACAAATTTCCTATCTCATTCCCCCGTTCTGACAATCTAACTCTGAGACCCGCTTAGAGGTGGGAGCAGATAAGCGCCAGCCCTCCCTGATTCCACCCTCTCTGGCTCTGCCCCTGGCAGAGGCAGTTCCCCTAAGAACGTCAAAGGGGGTGGTCTGGGGCTGGAAAAAAACAAGCTGGAGAGCGCTCCAGTGCCAGAAGTAGTACCACTCATTCTTCAGCTGAGAAAGGGTGGGAAGACCTCCTCCCAGGCAGAGCCTCACTGTTAGATCTAACACCAGCTTTGCCAGTCGCTTTCCTGGCCATCTTGGACGGGGGCTGTACAGGGACCTTGGTCTCCCCCATCTATGTACGGAAGCCTTTTTTGAACTGACTACAGGTCCCAGCTATTCTCTGATTTCTCCCCCAGAGGGTGGCACTTACTCTCCCAGGTCCCTGGCGGCATGGTGTATGCACGACAGCAGTTGGCGTTCTTGGGAGGTGCTCAATATTCCTGCTCGCTAGACCAAAGTAAGTATCTCTTTGGGACTGCTCGACCCAGAAACGGATGCCACTGGTACCCACTTCCAGCTTCCTCCAGTGGAATGACAGAGAGCCAAAGGGGTTTGAAAGCAGGAATAGGGGGAGGGGGAAGCCTCTGCCCTCCCGTCAGAATTCTTCCCTTCCATTTGACACAGAACTCCATTCAACAGAGGGGGAGACTGAGGCCCGGAGAAAGGCACCAGGTGGTGTGTGGTTTATGCTCCGGCTCTCTTCTCTCAACTGCCGCAAAGTTCGCTTTAGAGTCTGTCCAAAATAAATCCTTCCCTCTCTCTTCTCTCTCTCCTCTCTCTCTCTCTCTGTTGTGTGTGTGTTTGGTAGCTCCAGATTTTACTAAGCTATAGTTAGGCAGTTTCTGGGCCAGCATGCCGGGCACACAGTACTGCTCTCCTCCTGCAGGGAGCCCCTACCTATGCCAGTCTGGCCAAAGTCCTTCCCTCTCAAGGCGCCACCATTCCCAACCAGCAGCAGCTCAGTCTAGGGCAAATGCTTACCCCTGGAGCCACCCCTAAGAGCTGGGGAGGGGAGCCAGCAGAAGGAAATTCCAGAACCACGTGCGTCCCCCAAAGGCCCAATGATCAATCAACTCACAAACGAGCAAACAGACCTAAACACACCCTGAGACTGGCCCAAGGTCACACACCAAGCACATTAGGAGCAAATGCGGGGCTAGAACCCAGTTGTTCTATCGATCCCAATCCCGTCCCCAAGGCTGATTCCCAGAGATGCTCCCTGAGGTTGAGGCTCCACGTCTCTAGCTTCAGAGGCCTGCGCCCTACCCTACACCCCAAGCACCACAGAGCAGGGGGAGGCGTCTTCAGGCCTCTGTACAGGGCCAGCTGCAAACCGCAGCCTGGGTCCCCAGGCGCCGCGGACCCGCCCCGCCCCTCCCTCCGCTCCCCGCAGCCCGGAGCCTTTGTCAGCCACGCGCTCACACACACAACCGCGCCGCCACGCGCACACACACCCGGTCTCCCTAGCCCACACCCGCAAGGGGCGCGCGCACTCGCCGCACGCACGCAGGGGGGTGGAGGCGGCGGAGAAAGGAAGGAACTGACGGGCCATGGACGGACAGACGGCCTGGGCTGGGGGAAGGGAAGGAGGCCCGGGAAGCTGCAGCTGGGGTCGGAGGGGGAGCACAGACAAGGAGGCAGAGAGACGCAGAGGAGACTCTTGGAGAAGAGGACAACGGATGAGCCGTCAAGGGCTGGCGAGGACGCGCGGGCTGCTCCAGGGGTGGGGACTCACCTAACCCTTGGCCCCGGGTGTGTATGAGCGGGGAGCTGGATTGTACCCGTGGAGCACGGAGGCATCCCTTGCCCAGTTGTGCCGGAGCAGAGGGTCCGTAGGGACCTCACGTAGGTCCTGGAGATAGTAGGCCTGGGACCAAAAGCTCTCTGGGGTACCTCCCTCGAGGCGGGTGGTGGGATGGCGGGGGGGTCCTGGTCCTCGGGCTGGGTGGGGCCCTTGCTCACCTGCCACGGTGTACCTGTCCAGGTAGTTGAGCACGTTGCCCAAGCTGAGGATAGCGGCGGCTGCCCCCCGCCCGCGGCCCAAGCTGGCCGGTTTCGGCTGCTGCGCGCCGGGGCCCTTTGCAGTAGCTGCGCAGCCGGGGGTGCCAGGGGTGCCGGGGGGTCCGGTCGGGGCCCGCCTTACGCTGCCCGACAGCGTCTGCACCTCATCGTCCGCGGCCGAGACTCCAGCGCCGCCCGCGCCCCGCGCCCCGCAGCAACCGCTACCGCCAGCCCCTCGCTGCGCCCCCCGGCGCCGGCGCCGCCGCTCCGCGTCCGCCTCCTCCTCCTCCGCGCCGCCCGCCGCCGCCGAGGCGCATTCCAGGCACATCATGCCGGCCGGGATCGGGGCGGCGGGAGGCGCGGGGGGCGCGGGGCCCAGCTTGGGCCCGCTCAGCGCGTGTGTGCGCCGCGGAGCCGCCGCTGCACCATCCCGGTCGGGCCCCGTCGGCTCCTGCGCTCCGACCCCGGCTGCGGCGCCGCCACCGCTCAGCTCGATGCGCCGCCGTAGCCGCCGCGGCTCTGACAGCTGCGGCCCGGCCCCGCCCACCGGGCCCGCGCCCAATCAGCTCCGGGCTCGGGCCACAGCCCCGCCCCGCACGTGCTGCCCCGGGGATGGGCGCCCGGGGGCGAGGGGCCGGGGCTGCAGAGCCCCTCCCGCTAACGGGAGCGCAGTCACGCCGGGGCCGCCCGGCCGTGAACGCCCGCGGGGAGCGGAAGAAGGTTTGCTCCGGCTACGGAGCTGGGAGCAGGGTGCTAGTGACGGGGCTCCCAGCACCTACTCAGTACCCTTCACCCAACCCCTGCCTCGGGCATGGACTGCCGGGGGAGGCTCTGGGAGCCGGGCGGAGGGCTTGAGCCTAGCGTATCTGGGCGAACTGGAGGGAGGAGTCTCAGATAACTAAAGTCAGGGGCGCCGGTTGGAGAGCCGGTGGCTCCTCCGATGCTCACACGCCCCGATTTAAACAGTTCAGGGAGGGCCCAGAACCTAGACCTCCACCAGTCATGGTGGGCTGTGTCGCCCATCTCCCCAGGGCAACCCAGATCCAGCCCCCAATCTACTCCCGACCCATTCCTGTGTAGGCACCAGGACCCTACCCTTGCCCCACAGAGTGGCCGGCAGCCCCTGGCAGGGAGAACCAGGGTTCTGATTGGCGCCCAACAGAAACAGGATATTCAGAAGGGCCCTTCTCTCCTGAGGGACCACATCTCCAAGCTTCAGACTTCCAGGTACATGCTAGCAAGGGTACAAAGCCCCCAGTGGCAGACAGGAGGCGGGGTCCCAGCTCAGCTGTGCCCTGGTGTGTGGCATGACCCTGAACATGACACCCACTCTCTGGGTCTCCGTTTCTGTATCTGGGGGCAGATGGCAGGATGGGATTCAGTCTGGAAATCCATGGGTGGTCACTTCCCCTTGGTGGGACGGTGCAGGGGTCTGCCTCCTACGGAGAGTGGTTGGGGAGCTCCTGCGTTCCTGACATCTCATCACGGTTTCTCCCCTCCTCAGGTGCTGTGGCTCTGTGATGATCTCCCCTTTCCCTCCCCCATTCACCTGTCTGGGGCTTTAATTGAAATTAAAATCCTGTACAAAGTGCAGAGGACAGAATGTTAGAACTGGACAGACCCTCGGAAACCAGTTAATTATTCCCTGTGTTTCACAGACAAGTCCCAGGGCACGGATGTGAGCCATTATGAACAGGCAGTGAGTCTGTGGCAGAGCTGGAGCCGCCCTGGGCTCTGGCTTATCCCCGAGGGCTGGAGCTCAGTCCCCACTACAGGCTTTTCTGGACCCCACGTCCGCAGGCAGGTGCATCTGATGAAGCTGTCGGCCACAGTGAGTCATGGCATAGCCAACGGGTGACGCAGCACGAGGCACCCCCCGCCCCCCTCCACTGTCTCTTGTGAGCAGAGTTAATCCCCAAGCTGGTGTTTCTTGGCGCCTTCGAGGTGTATTTTAAATTCTGCAAAGTGACTAAAAATATGCTTCAGCGTGCTGGGTATGAATGACTGTGACGGGAGGGTTAGGAAAACAGATTTCATTCTGAAAGTTGCCTGCTGCCTCTTTCCAGCTTGCTGAGCTCAGGCCTGCAAAGGCGGATGGGGGGAGTTCCCCATGGTGGCCTGGCATGACGGGTGATTAACAAGCAAAGATACAGCTAGGATCTCCATGGGGCTACAACCCAGTCCCGGCAATGATCCTCCTGAGTGTGTGATGGTGCTAGCAGGTGGACAGAGTCCAGCTGTGGGAGGCTGTCCAGCTGTGGAACTGTGTCTAGTGGTGAAGGAGGCACAACCACGGCTCTAGACCCAACCCCAGGGTCCCCTTCCCATGCCTCAAAACTCCTCATCGCTTTGGCCACAGTCCTGTCCAGGGGCACACTTTCGGCCTTGACAGAAAGGGGAGCATTCTCTTTCGACTGCCTTCCCTTTTCACCACTGGGATGGTCCCAGAACAGGGGAAGAGGGTGGCATGAGCCTTTCAAACCTGGGGGACCTCTGGGCTGCCACCAAGCCAGCCAGCCATTCCCACTGTGTTTCGCTGGGGATCCAACTCAAAGGCAGTCTCTAGAATAGGTCCTTGTGTGGGATAAGGGGCCACCAAGGGCAGAGGGACAGGGAGGACAAGAAGCCCTGTCTGGTCGTGCAGCCCGGGACAAATCCCTGCAGCCTTCTGAGACGTTCTGGCACTATCCTGGGCCGTCAGACAGAGTACTGGTAGGGTTCTTTCCTCCGTCTCGCCAATGAAGAAACTGAGGCCCAGGGAAAAGAAGTCATTTGCCCAAGGTTGAACACCTGGTAAATGACAGCGCCTGGACTAAACCCAGGTGTGTCTGCCGTCTAATCCAGCACTTCCTCCACTGCCCCGCACGCTGCCTTCAGCCTGGGCGGGATTCTGCTTCCTCGTCAGTATAACAGGAGGCTGAACTCCATGGCTAAAGGACCTTCTGATATTCATTCATTAGGTCTAGATCACAGCTTCAAAAACAAATGGGGGCCGGGTGTGGTGGCTCATGCCTATAATCCAGCACTTTGGGAGGCCGAGGTGGGTGGATCACCTGAGGTCAGGAGTCCGAAACCAGCATGACCAACATGGTGAAACCCTGTCTCTACTAAAAATACAAAAATTAGCCGGGCATGGTGGTGCGTGCCTGTAATCCCAGCTACTTAGGAAGCTGAGGCAGGAGAATTGCTTGAACTTGGGAGGCAGAGGTTGCAGTGAGCCGAGATCACGCCGCTGCATTCCAGCCTGGGTGACAGAGTGAGACTCCATCTCAAAAAACAAAAAACAAAAAAAGTGGGGTGGGGGGCGGGGGAAGGAAAGAAAAAGAAAACACACACACACAAAAAAAGAAAAAAATGGGGCACAGGACATTAATGGCCATTATTCAAAGAGCATGTATATTTGGGAAGTAGTGGGATAAACACAGAAAAGTAGGTTTCCTTACTCAGAGACTTTTCAGAGCCTTTACTATGAGAATGGACACTCTGAATCTCCCAGAGGGAGATGTAGGATGCCACGTTCCCAGGTGTGTGTGACCACAGAATGTCTTGCAAGACGAGAGCTCTGCAGGACACTCGGAGAAATACTGGCCTAGAATGCACTTGCTCCTCCCTGGCTGGTAATTGGGAGCTCAGCCCATCTGCCCTCTGCCCATCCTCCCACATGGGAGTGTCTCCAGGGCTCAGGCCTCTGTTGCTTCCCTTCCCCCTTGGCAGCTTCTGCCTTGGCAGCCTCTCACCTAGGCCTGAACTTTACTTTTTTTGAAAAAATTTTTAAGAGGCAGGGTCTGGGCCGGGCGCGGTGGCTCACGCCTGTAATCCCAGCACTTTGAGAGGCCAAGACGGGTGGATCACGAGGTCAGGAGATCGAGACCATCTTGGCTAACATGGTGAAACCCTGTCTCTACTGAAAAATACAAAAAAGTAGCCAGGTGACGTGGCGGGCGCCTGTAGTCCCAGCTACTCGGGAGGCTGAGGCCGTAGAATGGTGTAAACCTGGGAGGCGGAGCTTGCAGTGAGCTGAGATCCGGCCACTGCACTCCAGCCCGGGCGACAGAGCGAGACTCCGTCTCAAAAAAAAAAAAAAAAAAAAAAAAAAAAAGAGGCAGGGTCTGTCTTACCCAGGCTGGAATGCAGTGTGCAACCATAGCTCATGGTAACTTTGAACTCTTGGGCTCAAGAAGGGGCTTCCTGATGCTGGGCGCAGTGGCTCATGCCTGTAATCCCAGCACTTTGGGAGGCCAAGGTGGGCAGATCACTTGAGGTCAGGAATTCAAGATCAGCCTGGCCAACATGGAGAAACCCCATCTTTAATAAAAATACAAAATTAGCTGGGTGTGGTGGCGTGCGCCTGTAATCCCAGCTACTTGGGAAGAGAATGGTTTGAACCCAGGAGGCAGAGGTTGTAGTGAGCCAAGATCACACCACTGCACTCCAGCCTGAGTGACAGAGTGAGACTCTGTCTCAAAACAACAATAACAAAAAGAAACACACAGAGAGCCAAGACAGACAGGAGCAAAGACAGAGAAACAGGGACTTTCATATTCCAGCCTGGGCGACAGAGCAAGACTCCGTCTCAGGGAGAAAAAAATAATAATTAAAAAAAAAAATATATATATATAAAGAAGAGTCTTCCTCTCCTGAGGGTCCACACCTCAGCCTCCTGAAAGGCTGGGACTATAAGCGTGCACCACCACACCCAGCATTTTTTTTTTTTTTAGGGAAAGGCTCTCACTATGTTGACCAGGCTGGTCTCAAACTCGGGCTCAAGTGATCCTCCCACCTCAGCCTACCAAAATGCTAGGGTTAGAGGCATGAGCCACCGTGAGCAGCCATGGCCTCAACTTTCAGTGATCATCCATGTAACTATGACACCCCAACCTCCGTCTCTAGACAGGGCCTCATCTCCAAACACGAGATCCATATGTGGTCTCCTACACACACCTCCCACCAGATATCCCACACGTACCTTAGACTCAGCACATTTGAAAACGAACTTGTCATCCTTCCTCCAACCTGCTCCCACTCTGGTATCATTTATCTTTTGTCAAAAAGCACCATCATCCATGCTGTCGCCAAGCAGGAAGCCTGGGGGCCACGTGGGGCTCCTTCTCCTCAACACCCACATCTGAGGGCTTTCAATTTCCTCTCTTGAACCTCTCCCCATGTCCACATTGCCTACTGGCTTAGCTCAGGCCTCTCTGTCTCACCTGGACCCTTGTACAGTTCAACATCACCTGTTCCCACATCCCCCTCCAGTTTTTTGTTTGTTTTGTTTTGTTTGTTTGTTTTTTGAGACAGAGTCTTGCTCTGTCCCCCAGGCTGGAGTGCAATGGCACAGTCTCGGCTCGCTGCAACCTCCACCTCCTGGGTTCAAGCAATTCTCCTGCCTCAGCCTCCTGAGTAGCTGGGATTACAGGTGCGCACCACCATGCCTGGCTAATTTTTTTCTTTTTTTTTTGGTAGAGACGGGGCTTCATCATGTTGGCCAGGTTGGTCTTGAACT